CAGAGCGACTGCCTAGACACTACAGATACCATGGACTTGCCCCCAGTGCCCTGCCCAGCTCCTTCCCCTCCTTGCTGTCCTGCAGCATGTTGGGTGCTGCCGGTACCATCGCACCCCAGAGATGGCTGCATTTGGGGGGAAAGGAACCATAGAAACATCAGCTGTCCTCACACCGCTGTGGGCACCCAGGACACGCACCCCCAGGAAGTGTTACTCACTAGAGTCACGGGGAACCTCGCAGCAGGGCTCACACTCAGGTACTCCTATACAAAGGCTAGCTCAAGCACCAGGGACCTAAGGGAGAATCTCCATTAGCTGCTATATATGGCCTCTGACACACAGGTGGGCATTCGTATCCCCCTTATCCAGGAGAGGGCAGGATTGCCCAGGTCTGCACACAGCTCATCAGTTCGACACACTATTCGTGTTACACTAACACGGCCGTAGTACCCCGAGCCCTGGTGCTTACACTGCTGACTTGCGTTGGACCCTGGGTCTGTCCAGAAAGGATCTGGGTTGGTAGGTCTCTGGAGGGCACTGGGTGAAGTTGTGCAGTAGGCTTTGGTCTCTGCATGCCTGGGCTTAATGGGCCGGCTTCCTGCCTGGTTCCATAGGTCATAAAGCCTGCCCATGATCTGGTCCCATTGATCTTAGCTGCTTTGGGGAGTCCTGGCTGGGGGCAGGGGCTGGGGGGGACAGAATGGAGGCCCTCTGGCTCAGCTGTCCAGCTGCTTCTCCCTCACGAGCCAAAGCTCTGAATGCTGCATGGAGTCAAGCCACATAACTGGGATTTGTCCCTGGGTGCCCCCAAGTGAGGAGAGGGGGGCTTTTGCACCAGCCCTGGAAAGAAAGACTCGGGGTCCTGTCCTGCTCCCCCTGACCTCGGTGTCAGAGCTCCGGTCCTCTTCCACCAGATCCAGGACCACCTGCAAAGTGTGGAGTGTTTGGGCCCCGGATTCTCTTGTGCTCCATCCCCGCGGAGTATGGGCACCGTGTCAAGCAACACCCCTGGCAGGCCACTCCCCCCAGCTCTGGGGATGGGAGGCTAAGCCCACGCTGTTAGCCAATGGGCCAGTGGACTAACCAGCCGAGGGTGTATTATCTGGTTCCTTCTTTGTCCACCCCGGACCAACTCACGTACTTGGCCTGTTTCTCTTCCCCTCCCCTTTCTCTGCAGAAATACCCTCCAAGGAAAGACCTGGTGAGAGCGGTGTCCATCCAGACAGGCTACTTGATCCAGGGGAGAGGAGTCAAGAGCTGCTCCATCACCTACCTGGCCCAGGTTGACCCCAAAGGTAACCGCGCTGCCTGGCTGTCCTGGCTCTGAGGGGCTGCTGTGCTGCCTCTCTGGGGACTCTATCGGAGCCTGTTCCCTGCCGCTTGCCATGGCTCTCACACAGTGCTTGCCCTGGTGTATGTCCGAGAAGGTCTGTCAATGAGTGAGTCTGTCCGTCTGCTCTAGAACTCCTCCTGGACGGGAAGGGCAAGGAGCATCAAGTTTGGGGTGCAGTGTCCTCTTGTCCCAACTTAAAGCAAGGTCGGGGTTTGATTGTGCCAGGGCAATGGGATGTGCCTGGAATGGGAGTGCTTCTCATGACATGGAAAGGGAGGGCTCTGCTCGCAGGGACAGTAATACTGTAGAATGACCACAGGGGGCAGCAAGGGGCCAGAGATGGGGACCAGGACAGTTACAACGTCATTGGGGCAGCAGGAGGAAAGGATGGAGAAAGGGACAGCTATCTACTGTATTTGAGAGCATCTGTCTGTCTGTCCTCCAGCTGGAGGACATGTCTCCCTCTCTCAGCTATGTCCGCTGCAGCGGCCACGGGGAGGCGCTTCTCACCTGTCCCCAAGCTGCTCCAGTGAGAGAGGGCTGAAATTGTCCTCTCCCCTAGGGTAGCCAGCATACAGAACCCCTCGTCCCCAGCCCCCCATACTTCCTGCCCCCCAGGCACCCGTTAGGGCGGGGTGAGGGTGAAGTCCCTCCCCCTCCAATTCATACGGGGACATTGCTGACCTGAGCAACGTGGGTAAGCCTTCTAGTTTGTCATGAAAGAGGTTATGTTATTTTTTTTACTGACATGGCAAACCCAGCGGTGCTGGGGCTCAGCTCTGGCAAGCCCTGGGCCCAAATTGGCACTGCTCACTAGTCCAAAGACCTCTCCCCTCCCCCCGCCTCGCGGGAGCCATCTCCGGTGCAATCCTGGTGCCTGTAGAAGTCTCCCCCGTGTTTCTACTCAATTCTCCCTCACATGGGAACATCTTGCCCGCCTCCGAACTTGCACCCAGCTCCCTTAGGGTGTCATGCGGCTGAGAGGCGCTCCTCAAGGTAGTCGGTTCTACTGCTCTGAGCCCAGTGAGCCTAAAGCCTTGCCAGGCCTCGGACGTTTGTGCCGGGACCCCGACAGCAGAGCCCTACCGGCTTACGGGTCTCAGCCGGAAATCCCAGCTGTCGGGAGAATTGGCACTAGCTGAGAGGACTCTGCTGCGGCAAGCTTGGGGAGGAGAGACGTTTTGTCCTGGGGAAGCGTCTGGCTGCTGTAACGCCCCCCAGTAGAGCACGAGAGCAGCGCACCCTTTCAAGGGGAGCCGATGCAGCCGTGGGTGGAAAATCTCAGGGGCAGGCTGCAGTTCCACTTACAGTGCAGGGCTCCCTTTGCAGCGAGGCTGGGGGAGATGGGCAGACCCGGCCCCTCTTCCACTCCGCTGAGTCCCCTGGAATGCTGGCTGCGTCCGGCCTTCCTCTGCCATCTACGACCGCTCCCTCCCCGGACCTCCCACGTGTTTTCCCCTGTGGCTGCTTGCTCTTGTGGTAGCATTGACCTGTCCCCCTCCAAGGAGATGCCTCCGAATGGCCCCTTCGGGAGGGCTGACCCCAGTAGCACCCAGGGTGGCAAGCAGTTCGCTCCCGCTAGGGACACGTCTCTCCCGGGGGGCCAATAGAATCACTTGGGCCGACAGAAGGGGGTGGGACCTTGGATGGAAGGGGCGGGGCTAGGAGCAACCACTACCCTCCAGCCAGCCCTTAGTGTCCTCTCGTGATCTCTTTGACTAGTATGGAGTTACTCCTGATTTAGACCAGTGTAAGTGAGATGAGAATCTGGCCCATTGTGGCGAGCCTAGTCTCATCCATTAGCAACTGTGTTACCGGTCCCCTTCTGTGCTGATCCTCAGAGGAAACGAGTCCTCTACCACCCCTGTGACAGGCTTTGGCCCTTTAGCTCCCGCTGCCAGCTTTGGAGGCTCATAGTTCAACTCCAGCGGCCCTCTCCCAGGTGTCCAGGGATGTCCCGTGCGGACGAGCCACTGTGCCAGGTCTTTGCCTTATTCTCCTTGTCTCTGTTGTGCAGGTTCTTTGCCGAAGTGGGTGGTGAACAAATCGTCTCAGTTTCTGGCTCCAAAGGTAAGTGTCCCGCTCCGGTCTGGTTATCGATTCTATCCCACCGTCATGTCTCTCCCTGCAGGTTCTCTCCTCCTCCCCATGGAGAGAAGCTCCGGATTGCAGCCATCCAGTCCACAGGCCTCTCGAGTCTTTATCACGCGGTCGCTTTGGTTTTCCATCCGCCCAGCCCTTACTGCAGTAGCTCAGGTGGTAAAGCCGCTCAGGAACAGTGCCCGAAAGTGATGGATAGTGGCAAATGGGGGGAGGGCGGGCTCCCTTTGCAGCGATGCTTGGGGAGATGGAACAGTGTCCGAAAGTGATGGAGGTGGCGAACAGACACACCTGCTGCTGAGGCCACAGTTTAATTAGTACCCTGGTGACGTCTCCCCTTGCGGTAGCTTCATCAGAGAGCATCACTGTCTATAAGGAGAAGCCCAGGGAGAAGATGCTGGGTGTCAGGGTGCCCTTGATCCCAGCAGACAAAGGTGGAATAAGATCCAGAGGGTGGCAACGGAGATTAGAGAAATTTCAGATGGAAACTGGAGAGCTCTGAGCGAGGGTCGCTAACCAGTAGGCCTGCTGCTCAGCAGCAGTGAAGTCATTGTGTGAAATGGGGGTAGGGTGACTCTTTAAACAAGGGTCTGGCTTAGCCACAAGGTCTTGGGAAGGGCGGTTCTGGTGATGGAGGTGGGATAGAAAGTAGGGATGTAATAATATAGTTGATGAACCGATAAGCAAAAGCTTACAGGTTAATGCTATAGACTACACGCACTTCCCTCTCCCCTTCTCTTTGCCAGTACATTTTTCAGCAGGCTGGCCAGCAGCCTGGCTCAGTCCTGGCTTGCAACAGGACCTGCTGTGGATCTGCATGTAAAGTGGATTAGGAGCAGAGTGGGCAGGCAGCCCAGCTCAGTTCTGGCTTGGGCTGCGTCCAGGAGCTCAGACGCCCCCTAGACAGGGGCTGCTGCCACCCCGCACTGCTGCCTCTTTGTCAGAAGCAGCAGCACAAGGCAACAGGCAGCTGGTCCGTGAGGGGAATGGTTTGTAAACTGGCTCCCCTCGTGGTCCAGCTCCTGCCTGGCACCCCGCGCTGCTGCCTCTGATACAGAGGCTGCTGGCCCCGCCCCCGGTGACTAACCGATAAAATGTCATGAGGTTACTCGACTATTCGATTAACCGATATTTAACATCCTTAGTAGAAAGCAGGGGGATAAGAGTGGTCTGGACAGGGCTGCCTTTGGAGTCCAGTCATGCTTCTCCCTTCACTAGGATGTGCCCGGTTCTCACAGGTCATCCAATCAACCTCGATTCCTTCTGGGCTGGGAGGGGTCACTGGTGTGCCAGTCAGGGGCTGCAAATCCCATGAGCTGTACTGGTGCATTTTATGCTGCTCGCAGGCCTCTGGAAGCAGGCATGACTCTCCTGCTGCCTTTCAGGGACTCTGTCAGGCTCGCTGGCCAGAGCAGTGCCTGGTGGGTGGGACTGAGGTAATAGGGCGATTTCAGTCTACCATGCTACCCCCTCCTAAGCAGGGTTCCCTCTGTTTTCCATCCATGTGCAGAATAAATTTTGAGCCGTGCACTGAGGCATGTGTGGATGTGCACCACCAAGAAACCTAGCTGTGGGCGCTCTACTTGTGTCCCCTCACAAATTTCTCTATCCCTTCCACACTGTAGGGACACACCTTTACCCAGTTCCTAGGGCTCAAGGTATATCAACCCGCAGGTTGGCAGGATCTTTAGCCCCTGAAAGAGCCTCACACGGCAATGTCCTTATCCTCTATTTATTGACAATTCCCAAACAAGCAGAATGTACATGCTAAGCACACAGGGTCATGCTCACTGACCCTGATGAAGGCAGGCAGACTTCCCCTGTTGGCCAGGCAATATCAGTGTCTCTGGTCTTAGGCTGTGTCTTGGAGGTGAGTTCTTCTTTTCCAGGTCTTCCCCCCTCCTCCTGGTCCTCTTCCAGCCTTTTCTTCCTTCTGTTACTTCTGATCATCTTCTTTCTGATCTCCTCCTTGGACCCCAGTTTATATAATGAAACCTGAGTCTTGCTTAGTTATACTTTAACCAATTATTTTAGTATAATTTTACTAACCAATCATACCAAAATTACCTAACCAATCATACCCCATCACTTTAATTGATTTACACCTAGCAAAATTAATTATACAGCAGACAAAAACAGTTACAAACCAGACAGAAATCACACAGTCAAACAATAGGAAAACGTAGTGACAATGGTCGTAGGATGAGGAGTCCACAACATTCTCTATGGATAAGCAGTTTCTTGCCAGACAGAATGGTGCGACTTAAGTTTTATTTACCCATCTTGGGATCTGTTTCTTTAGCTTGTGTCAGTGGGGGAGCGATCAGGGCAAAGTCCCCTCCTCACAGCCTGGGGTGACACTTTTTAATGCAATTTAGATGGAATTGTGAGTATGTGACTCCAGGCCTTACAGGAATGGCTGCTACTCTTCAGTCTGGCTGCAGAAGGCGGCTTTGGTTCAGGCCTAGCACAGGCCTTCCATCATGGCTACAGAAAAGCCAGATTGTTACATACTAATCAGCTGGGCAGCATTGCAATCTCTCCTGGGTTGCCGCCCACGTGCTCAGCTTACGGGGAACAGTGCTCCTAAGTCAGGGCTCAGGCCCAGGCTGGCGGCAGAAGGGAAAAGGGCAGCCGTGACGTGGGAGTGGGGCGGTATTCAGGCCTGGGGCAGCCTTCTTGACCTTGCCTGGGTCCCTAGCGCTTTCCTAGCCTTGCCTCTCATCAGAGACTGCTGCTGTCTGCAAAACTTGCATGTGCTGCACCCCCCTCACAGGCCTGGGCCCGGACGACCCTCCATCACCTCAGAGGGTCCACACCTTGTTGGCGGGCGGCTCGTGTGACTCTCACCGGTCTCCTGCCTTCTCTGCCCTCTCCCCCAGGCCATGAAGAAGATGTACAAAGCCTGCCTCAAGTACCCCAACCCATTTCAAGCCCTGGCTGTTCCCCGAACAGAGCACCCTCCCTGCCGTGGCGCTCTCGGACCTCTCCATCCAGCACGCCGACTCGCTGGAGAACATCGACGAAAGCAGCCTGTCCGAGACCAAAGACGACCGGGGCGACGGCAGCGACGAGGACAGTGTCAACTGAGCCACGTTCACTTCCGTGCCGCCTCCCCCCCTCCCCAGCTTCCACACACCCCCTCCTTGTGCCCAACTGGGTTTATTTTGTCTGTGTATCCAGTGCAGTTTGTGTAACCTCATTTCCCCCCCACTCCGGCCAGTGGTCAGTCAGGACGTTCCTCAAGCAGGCCAGGGATGGGAGAAGGACCGTTCCCCTCCTGGTGCCAGAAGGCATCTAACTACCTTTGAGGGGCCAGGAAGTGGGAACCCCAGGCTCCGAGCAGGATGGGTGCCCTGGAGTGTGAGGGGGAAGCGTGTGTCTCTGTTGGCTGAAGAAAGCAGGGAGGGCAGGGTGGGACCTTGTGGGACCAAAGAACAGTCACCATGGGCCGAGCCATCTTCAAAATCAACCTCGAGGGGCCTTCTGGGAGCGTGAGCCGCCTTCTGTGCTCTGCCTGGCAGCGTTGGCAGGGCGCTGCCTTTTCGGAGGGCAGGCCAGCGCTGTCAGTGTCCAGGGAGCAGGGGAAGGGGAGGGGAGGGAAGAGGTCGGGCATGTTTCCCTCAAGGGAGGAGGGCTTGGAAAACACCTGCCCTTTGGCGAAGGAGATGGCCGCAGCCGGACTGGCGCTCCCGGAAAGCCCCACGCTCCCCGTGTCGTTAAATGGCTGTCGTCTGCGTTTTCTTTGTTCTCCTGTAACAGTTAGAATTGCCTTTTGCTGACTGAGACTAGTTTACGGGACCCGTCTCCCTCGGGGGTCCCTGGCTGCGCTGGGACTCTCCCAAGAGGGTGGGGACCCCGAGGGGCCCTGGGCTCGCTTGTGAGAGGGGCCCCAGAGGTCATGACACATGAATATTTTCTCTGCGCTAGAATTAGAGGCCTTGAATCTGGATTTTTGAAGCCGGTTTCCTTGTAAGAGCTCCCTGAAACCCCCCGGTGTTCCGTTTCATGGGGGAAAAGGAGATTTTGTACCTTGTACTGGAGCAGTTTATTTAGGAATAAAATGACTAAATCAGGCAAGAAGGACGGCTCGGCGTTTTCCTTACCGCTTGGACGACGTCCGTCGGGCACTGATCGTCGGACCCGCTTCCTCCTCTAGCTGACTGGGCACCTCATCCCAGGGAGAGGGGCTGGCAGCTGGGGCCATGCTCAGGGGGTTGTCCAGCTGGGAGGAGGCTCATGCAAGGGGAATCTGTAGCTGCCTTGCTTAGCCTTTCCTGCGGGGAAATCGCAGACTGGATGGGCCGCTGCTGGCTGGGCCCTGGGGGCTGACCTTTCCACTGCGGCTGGGGGAGCTGGCTCAGCCCTCTCCTCCCAGGCACTGCTCTGAGCAAGGGGCTTGCAAGTCATGGAAGCAGCTGCATTGGGAGGATGCTGCCAGTGAGCAGGGTTTATTAGCCAGCTCTGCTTTCTCCACCCTCCTGTTGAATTTCACAAGCTGAATGGGTGGATGGAGACAGCTCCTCCCTTCCCCCCCTCTCCTCCTCTTTTCACTGCAAACACCACCTCCTCCAATGGGGCTCTGGCTGTTCCCAGGCCCAGCTTTGCAGTCACAGCCGTGCATCAGCCTGGACATAAATGAGTAGAAGGCAGCAGGCCCTGGCTGGTACATGGAGATAGGCTCACAGAGGTAAAGCCAAGGTCTCTGTCTGGTCAACCCTTGGCAGGCAGGAAGCTGCGATCCGGTCCTACAGCGTGGCTAACTCTACCTTGTTTGAAGTAAAGGGTTTTTTCCTATCCATTGACATACTCAAACAGTACAGGCAGTCCCCGAGTTACGCAGATCCGACTTATGTTGGATCCGCACTTACGAACGGGGCTTTTCTCGCCCCGGAACTCGCGGGCGGAGCGGCTGATTCCAGGAAGCTGGGGGCAGAGCAACTCTGCCTCAGGCTTCCTGTAGTCAGCCGCTGGTCAGTTTCAGCAGCAGCGGCTGAATCTGGAGCCAGTTCCGAGTTATGTACAAATTCAACTCAAGAACAAACCTACAGTTCCTATCTTGTACGTAACCCGGGGACTGCCTGTACCTGGCCTGGCAGCAAAGGGAGAGGCCTCTGACCTCAATGGAGCAGTCATGGCTTATGGAGTGGTACGCAGAGCACTCTGGGACTAACATAAAGGGATGAGGCTGTAACACTTCCCTGTCAGCTGCTCTGCGGCCGGCTGTTCTAGTCACTGCAACAGGCAGTGTAACCACCTTGTATAACCACCCCCTGGCAGATTTGAACCTGGGACCTCTGCAGCTTGAGCTACAAAGCTTAAGTTATTCTTCTTATCTCTGGCTGTAAGCGCCACTCCATGGGACAGTGAACCACACTCGGTATGGGGGTTACACAGGCTCCTTAGAAGAGCCAGCTTTGTGTCTTCTGAAGCCTTTTCCTGAAGGGCTGGAAGCACTAATGGGATGACAAGAGCTTGGCCTGCTCCCACCTCTCTGAGCCGCTTCCTAGTTCCAAGTCCGTGCTCCCGCTTGCTGCTGCTTTCTCCCCAGTGATCAGGGCATGTCCGTTCCAGGCTGGCATCCCACACCCTGATACTGCAGGGTGGCCTGGGGGCTAGGACTCCAACTTTCCTCAGCCTGGCCTGCGTTGCTGCCCTCGGGGAACTCCGGTTGCTGCCCCTCTATGTTACAGCTGGGAGAGCCAGTTGCTGGATTGCTTCTTCTCTTGCTGGGGCAGGAAAGAGAAGCCCTATGGGTGGGTGGGTGACAGACGAGAGGCACGAGCGGTGGAGGTGCAGTAGGGTTCATGCCCATCAGAGCCAAATTGGAACAGGACGCGGAAGGTGCTAAACTTGCATGGGTTCCCAAACTGGGGAGCGTGCCCCCCTGGGAAGCCGTGAAGAAATTCCAGAAGGGGCGTGAGGCAACCCAGCCCTCCCTCCCCCCCATCAATCCACTTGGGCTGGCAGGGCTACCTTAAAAGGGCCATGCCTGCTCTGGTCTTAAAAGGCCAATTTTTTAAAATTTTTTGCTCAACAAGGTTTGCTGCTATTTTGGGGGGTGGGGGGGGAGCGTGAGGGTTTCTCAAAAATCAGAAAGGGGGCGTGATGCTGAAAAGTTTGGGAACCGCTGTGCTAAAGGGAGATTCAGGAGCAGCCAGCCAATGGGAGAAGCAGGAGGGCTGATGCTTTTAGACAGGGTTATAGGCCAGAGATGCCCGAGAGCAGGGTTCTGACCCAGTAAGTCCCGTCCTGTCCTGCGGGCTTGTGATGATGGTCGACAAGCCTGAACCCTGCTAGGGGGAGACATCACGGCACAGTTTGTGTGGGCTCTGAACCGGGTTTTAGCCTTCCCCTCCTATCCATGTGTGTGCGGCTCTGAGCTGGGCATGGAGGTGTGCTCAGCCTGACCCAGGCGGGCGCTGGAGTCTGGATGCAGCTTTCCCTCAGGAAGGAGGCAGGAAAAAGCATGTGAGTGCTGCGGGCCCATCCATGCCCTCCTGCAATTCCCTCCGCAAGGGGAGACTGGTTCCACAGCTGCCTGGGGAAGACACCCCGCTCAAAGGGCCATGTGCCACATGCATGGCAGGGTTCAGAAATAGCAAAGACCCAAGCAGGTGGGGAACAGGATTTTGCCATGAGGATGCTCACGCCTGGGCGAGGCTGTGGGGGCAGCTTGGACCGCGGGTATCTCTCCTGCCCATAGACCTCAATTCTCCTGGTCCAACAGAGGGTCAGGACAGCCACAGGCCAGCCTGCCCCCCTATGTTACAGCATTTATTGAAAGGCCTTTTCCTAGAATCCCTTAACGCTCCCCTGCAGGCCCCACTTGCTCCCTGCTGGTCCAAACAGGCGCGATTCTGTGCACCCACTGGAGAACAAACACCCAACTCACTCACTGACATGTCTCGCTGTTAGGGTGACATTAAGCTCTCTCTTCTCCTTCCTTAACATTTACCAGGCCACTCTGTCCCTGTCATGGTGTTATCCACCACCTCCAACACGTTGGCCCCTGGATCCCCATCCTTCCAATGAGCCTGTTTCCCCAGCCGAAGTCTAAGGTTGCTCATCCCAGTGGAACCTGGTGCCTCATTGCTTTGACCAAAATGGGGCCTCACGCTGAAGAGATTTGAGAGCCACTGGACTCGCCCGTCTCCTCAGCCAGGTCTGTCTATCATCCTCGGGGGCAGCAGGGCTCAGGACTCTTGTAGGGCTGGAGACGATTCCCTGATCCTAAAGCAGTTATAGGGAAAGGCTTTCCTTACAATTTTTGGATATTGACACCATGCCATGGACCCTATAAAGAGACGGAGAATTTCACCCTAAAGACAAGGGGCGTTGGCTATTGGCAATCACAAACTGAGTCCATGGCATCTAGAGGGCAGCAGTAACAGCTTGGGCTTAAATGGACTTTGTTCCTGTGATGGATGGGTGAGGCGTTGTCCTTTTCTAAACATCCCACTGCTGCCACCATGTCATGGCTGTTCCCTTCTCTTTCACTTTGAGTGCAGCAGGTGGGGGCCTGCAAGAGACCTTAAAAATACCTTGCCTCTAAGGGCTTCTGTTTTTAAAACTCCCTAAACTCAGAGATTACCTGTTCTTGGGAGATGGCTGTCACCACTCAAATGAAAAAAAAAACCATCTTTCTTCTTGAACCCAGGAAAAAATCACTTAGGCTATCACTTTTTTTCTGACAAAAAGACGGCTGAGATGTTCAATGAATATTTTGCTTCAGTCTTCTCTAGTGACCAGATATTCGACAGAGTTAATAACAGCAAGGGGGAAGGAATGCAAACCAAAATAGGGAAGGAAGAGGTTAGATAAGCTAGATGTATTCACGGCAGCAGGGCCTGATGAAATTCAGCCTAGTGTCATTGAGGAACTAGCTGAAGCAATCTCAAACTGTTAGCAAATATCCTTGAGAACTCCTGGAGGTCGGGGGAGGTCCTAAAAGACCAGAGAAGGGCAAACCTAGTCCCTATCTTTTAAAAAAGGGTAATAAAGGACCCATGGAATTATAGACCACTCAGCCTAATTTTTCGTAGCTGGAAAGATACAGGAATAAATGATTAATGTGTAGCAAAATGCAGGACAATGTAGCACTGTAGAATAGTGGTAGAGATGTAGCCGTGTTAGTCTGGGGTAGCTGAAGCAAAATGCAGGACAATGTAGCACATTAATGTGTAAGCATCCGGTGGATAAGAGAGTTCTAAGGAAGAGCCAGCAGGGATCTGAAAAGAACTAATCATGCCACGCCCACTGAATTTCTTTCTTTGCCAGGGTGACTGACGTGATGGATCAGAGCGAAGCAGTGCTGTGATATATTTTGATTTTTAGTAAGGATTTAGACACAGTGACAGAGACACAATGACATTCTTGTGAGCAAACGAGAGAAAAGTCAGGATGAAATTACTATATGGTAGGTTTCAGGGGATAGCTGAGTTAGTCTGTTACAGAAAAAAACAACAAATGGTCTGGTAGCACTTTATAGACTAATAAAACATGTAGATGGGTGCACAACTGGTTGGAAGACCATACTCAGAGTCTAGCTGTCAATGATTCACTGTCAAACGGGGAGGGTGTATCTAGTGGCTGACTTCCACGGCTCAGTCCTAGGGCTTGTACTGTTCCAGATCTTCATTAATGACTTGGATAATGGAGTGGAGAGTGAGGTTATAAAATTTGCACATGATACCAAGTTGGGAGGGGTTGCCAGGGTAGCCCTTCCTGTTCACCAGCCCGTGTAAGGTTATTCAACATAGGGGAAGCCTTGTGACTTTTTACACAACTCAGGGAGAGGAGGCCTGAGGCTCCTTGGTATGCTCTGTGTTGTGTGTGTGTCAGGGAGTGTGCCCCTCAGACCAGACCCTCTCCGACAAACACCAGGAACAGACTTTACTCTGGAAAGAACGTAGAACAGGAGCACAGCCCAGCAGCCCCTCCTTTCTGCTTGCAGCCTGCCTGCTCCCAGCTCAGTCCCTGCTGAGACCCTGCTGGGGACAGAGCGAGGGCACATCCTGGCAGGAACCAGGGAGTTCTCCCAACATGCCGCAGTTTGTCGTCCACAACTTGTAGTTCCCAGG